TATGAAAATCGAAAAATGTGTATGCTGTTACATTTTTGTTAGTACCTATCAATCTATAATACCAWTAAATTTGACTCCTCCTTTAATAATCTTCAGATCCACTACTAGAATTACTCTTATGTTATACTTATATATGAAATGATTGGTGTATGCTAATACAGACAATTGTGAATACACTTATTTCTGTTGAAGTACACAGATATACTAAAGTTAAAGGTAAATAATAATAAGATCGGACATAAATAGTATGGTAATAAGTATAATGATACAATGTACAATAGTGTTATGAGGCKTAATATAAATCAACGACTAACTGTGTATATCAGTTACACAAGACATATTTGTTATAGTATTATAAAAATGTATWGCCAGCGTCTGCTGAACTACAGTGTGAACATATTACATATACACTACATGATATAGGGTGTTTTGTTTATAATTTCAACAACTTCATTCAAAGTTGAATAAATATAATACAGTTTAAATAAAGAATATACTTTGTTTTAKGTCAATAAATTGTTAATATATTTGGAWTTACAAATAGTAACTTCTACCCAACTGAATCAACTAGCACAAATTCTATAAAATCATATTTGAAAAGAACTGAAATAGGTTTTTGTCTAGTTTTTGATTTTATTCAATTAGATTGCTACTGTAAATAGCTAGAACTACTTTCTAAATATTATTTGAGCTAACATAACTTAACAGACTTGGCATTGATATATAAATATGTGAAGAGGATGGACGCTCATACACAATAGTAATCTGTCTACAAGGAACTCATCACTAATATCGTCTTTAAACCCACTTTATACTTTGGTATCCATCTCTATGCCATGGAACTATCCATTATATATAATCTAAGGTCTTAGCCCTTATTTATATGGTAATTGCAAGGATATATGTGAGAATGGTGTCCTATTTACCTAATTTCATGTTATTTTTATACAATGATCTGGAATGTTAATTTTGTTGACACATGCTGGATGTCGCTATTGTTAACCATCTTTAATATAATTTATATTTCATGTAAATCCTTAAATGATTATTGTTCTTCACAGTTAACTTTAGATGTAAAGAGTTTGTTCTAATAAATATTTATGTTATAATTTTTGAATAATACTTGATACATGATAATAATTTTTTGTTAATTGAAATTGATAAAAACAAACTATTTTATATTTCTAGAAATCTTCGGATGATTCAAGTGATGATAATAAATCTCCAGTCAAATCTAAGAAAACAAAGGATGATACTTCTAAGTCAAAGAGGGAAAGGGTAATTTATATTTTTTATCCAAATCATATTAACTTTTAATAATGTTTATTTGTCATTATATCTAGGCGTCATCTGATAGATCGAGTGAAGAAGAGAAGTCAARATCTACGAAAAAAAGGAAAAGTGATTCAGATGATTCAGATGATGATGTTGACGAGAGTAGTGGAAGTGCATCAGATGTTAGTGATTCTGATTAAATATTTTTTCAGATTTGTATAAACATGCAACAAAATGTAAGCTATTTTTTGTGTATGACTAAAATTTTTTTTATATAAAATAAAATAAAACAAAACTTACTAATGATCTACTTCCAGATTTCATTAATCTAGTTTATTATACATGAGTATTAGTTTTATATTTATTACTATATTAACTAATGGATTAATGAAATTATATACAATATATTTATGAAAAAAATTACAAATATTTTATGGGTATACTTTTTAATATTTTTCTCAATTATTTTTACAAAATGTTTCGATCAAAAATYGTATTTTATTCGTACATTTTTCATTATTTACTATTGTTGTAATATTTTACAATTCATAAAAACTTAAAATACCTCAATATGTTATTTATTAATAATTATCATAATTTAATCATTTATTTTTTAGTATCAAGTCTGATTACACATGCAAATAACGAACATGTAATTATAAAATGTTTTATAATACCTCCATAGTTTCTGAAAAATGTACGAATAAAATAAATTGAATGATAACTGAAAATAAATATTTCTTGTTGGATAATAGCATTTAGGTCTCCAATTATTACTTAACTAATGTACAACACATGATACTATAGTAACTTTCTGGGGAATATTTCAAGGTTGGTTGAATAATTGAAGCCAGAAGAGGTATCAAATGTCTTTAACTTAATTGTACTGTAACAGTAAAATATTTTTATCAAACTRTCATTGTTGGATTCATATGAAAAACGACACTTATGTAGTACACACAAGGCATAGTAATTGATAATCACATAACATACAATTAATATAGTTGAATCTTTAATAAGGTCTGAAGGCATAATATATTACCTATAGACACCTATACTGGCCTATACTCATCCTTATATTTTAATTAATGTATAATTGAGTTGTTGCACCATAACACCATTGTACACCTGTGTGTATTTTATATTTTTTATATTTTGTTGGTAAATGACATGGTGATAGTTCATAAGTTCATAACAAAACACCTGTAGAGTGTAGTTTGGTAGCTAATTTGGTATAACTAGGTTTTTATCAAAATAAATTAATGCACACACAATTGACACATATTTTGTATTTTCATTGTTCAAACAATCGGCAGGTAATATAATCAGTATTTGGAGGTACCCTTATCAACCTCTATAAATGCATACTAGGTATTTATAATCTATGGTAATACATATCTGTAATGTAATATAAAAATACCAGTGATGGCAAATCTATGTCACATGTGCCTAACATAACACCCAAAAAATAATTATTTTGACCGCAATTATTTTTGTACTTATATACATAGATTTCATAGTTTAATGAAATTAAAATTTAAATTCAACAACATTTTATTTTGTATTAGGTATCTACCAATGTTAAATTTCATTCCTAAAGTAGTATCTAACTACTTAACTAATATAGTCTTGTGCAAGGGTGTGCATAGGGTTATTTTTAGGGGAGGGTCAAAGTATAACTAGGTTCTGAAACCTATTTACAGCATAAAGTTACAAAGTTGGCTTTTCTTGAGAAAAAAAATGAGGTAGAAAAGTATACAATTATGTGAACATTGACTTTAAAAAAAAAGTTAAGGGTTGAATGCAAGGCATAATGGCTTATTTCATAGTAGGAAGACAAGTGATGTTATACTGTCATTGTTGATATAAACAGAWTATTTATCTTGTTGTGTGTTATTGCGGACCATAGACCTATTAACTAGTTAAACCATAGACCTTAAATTACTCAGTATGAGTTGGGCAAATAATAATTTGTTTTTGTACTGGTCGCAGTTGGAAATAAACTTGGTCTGAGATAATCACAAACATAAAACAGTTAACAATTTAGTGCCTAGCTATTGCCTATAATACATAATTGCAAAAACTTAAGTCACAAAAACTGATAACCATAATATTTAAAATTTTATTTTTATTCTTGCATTGATAATATATTATTATTTTACAGGAGGCAAGTCCCTTCTCCTGTGAGTAATCCTGTAAGACCATCCTGGTCCTGATATCTCAATCCTAAGGGCTGAGCCTCGAGGGGCACCAAGGCCCCAAAATTCAATTTTAAATTAACAACATAAAATATATACTTACCTATAAACTATAAAAAATTATTATATTTTTAAAACAATTTCTCAAATATTTATTGAATAAACATTTATCCAATGACTTTTTTGTGATATACATTTGTAATTATTTTTATGTTCGCTCATAATATTAGGGAGATACCTGATATAATAATTTCAAAGTTATTGATTGATAACGAGCTCACAATAAATCTTTGGTTATGGCTACTACATTTAACCATTTATGATTTACACATACCACAATACAAACAAATAGGTAGGTATAAACTAAGTACCTACATTGGACATCTTCATAGTTTAGGTTYGAATGTTCGATAGAAGATGAGTCAAAAAATTAACATAATCTATTTTAGTAATATATATTTTGATTAAATTTTTTTTCAAATTAATTAATAATTATTATTGTTTGTAAATTTTTAGAAATATATAATACTATTACATTTTGTTCCTTGACACGCGTTTTGAACCAATTAATTCACATTGCATAATTTATTAATTAAGTGTTCATGCTACGGGCTTCTGAAATCCTACTGTTCCGCTATCGTGGTTTCTAGAAAATACCTAATCGATATTTTTAACTTTTAAAAACGGAAAATRCACAGTATTTTTCAAAACAAACGAGAGAAAACGATGTTTTATTCGCAATACCAGCTTCTGACTAAGGCTCCGCATTTCCGCCTTTTTATTATTTTTGAAATAATTCAACTTATATGTTTCTCTATTAAAACCAATAAAACCATTATATTTTACAAACAATTTTTTAAAAAATCCGTATAGACGTTCGATTTAAATTAATTACCTTGATAAGTACCTACTACCTATTTATATGATAATACAAAATGAACTTTGGAATAAAATGTTATCAATATTAAATGTGTTTTATTAATATTAATATTACATTGGTTATTCACCACATCGCATCGTCGTACATAATATAATATATTATCTTAATATCTTCTGGATTTTATATTTTCAAGCAAATCACTTRTCGTCTGTCGATCATGATGCGATGCGGTTAAAATCAGGCGATAAACGGATTAGGTATAGGCAGTGGTTTGATTGTGGGAGGACGCAGGGGGACTGATCTACTCTTCATTTTTCTTCAAACTACAGCGTAGCCCTTTTATTATATTCATCAAGGAATAGGGTTACTAGTRCTAAATTAATTTGCTTAATAATTGTTCAACTTCATTTAGAGTTCACCTTTATTTTTTTTTCCCCATTCAACCATTGGATATAGGTAGGTGTGTACCTATAGGTAATGTATTATGATTTTTCCATTATAAATTATAATATTACCTATGTCGCGCSTTATCTGCTCTCTCAAAGTCGACCGGCCAGGCGCGGGGCATCGAGGTACCGCTGTTACCGGACCGCGTGGCAAGTGAACTTCGATAACCGACCACTTATAATACCACTTCTATGTAACATTTACATTAGTATTGTTGTTGTTACCGCGAGAAAACGTCAAAGCCAAAAGCGCGTCATTCCACTCAGTCCCGTCTCGACGCGCGAACGAGTGCCGACATCGTCCGCTGTACCGTTCACCGCATCGTTGCATTATTATTTTTATTATATTTGTTTCCACGTTCATCGTCTCATCACAYGAGTAAACACAATATCAATATTATATCCACATAAATATTACCGTTTTTTATATATACACACAACCACCGTTTATCCATCCACACGCGCTGTACCGACATGCAGTCCAAAGCGCGTCTGCTCGAAGAGGAATTTTCCGAACGTAAGCAATTTCATCGTACCTATTATATTTTGATATTGTAGTAATACATAAATAATAATATTATGTCAGTCTATCGTTTTATAATATAACTCTTGGTACCTATATCCGTGTGTATTATGTACATATTATTTGAGTTGTGTATTTCCGGGGTTTGACCTGGGTATATAARACCTATATCCTCGAACAAGCCTTTTTTTAATTTAACAGAACGACGTATAATAATATTTTATAATATTTTTGTAGATTATTTTACCATGTTGTTTAATAGAGAGTTCGATCGGCTATGGAAGGCAATTTTCACTAAATCTTAGTTAGGCATCATGTAGATGTTTTTTGTAAAATAAAAATAAAAATTGGAAATATGTCACCGTCATATACTCATCTGCTAGGTATAAATTATTATCAATGTCTACCTTTATAAGCTCAAAAGCTCGCCTAATCTGTCTTCTCGTCTATCTCATTACGTATTAACTATTTATGATATATTTTAATTTTGTTGATATATCTATAATATAGATTATATATTATTATTTAATATCCACGTTATTAATTATATTATTTATACATTTTACCGTTCTATTTGATTGCATATGTGACTTTTTCGTACAACAATGATAAAAGAATGAATAATATATAGTATTTTCCAATAGGGGTGCTTTGAAATAATAGCCTATAAATTCAAATTTTTGGCATATAGGGTATTCATAATCAGAAATTTGAACATGCTTTTACAATAAATGAGCTATATAATTAATCAAAAACGTAAAAACAACCCTAGCTAATTTAAAGAATTCTCTAATCTACGCATTATGTCCAGTCCACTGATCTGGAATTTTCCTAACTTTATAATATAAATTATAATTTATGTACCTATTAGACATCCTTGTTAACTACTAAACTATGTTTCGGATACTAAAATCTACATTGGCTATTATCGGCCAAACAATGAATAGTAATKATTTGTCAATTTATCAAGTTCAATGCTACCTGTTTCATTATCGTTATCACACGACACCCCCGACAAATTATCTCTAAATTGTACGTATTTTATGTCATATGTCATATRATGACATATATTTATATTTTAATAAGCTATACATTATTATTGACATTATTACTTTTTTATATAATTTGGTAATATATTGTAGGCACTAGGCAGGTATAGGTGGTTTGGAATAGTAAATAAAGATTTTTTAACATGTATTTTACTTCACACAAGTGTTATTATAAGTGTAACAGCTGTTAGTTGATTACGCATGTAAAAACGAAACAAACCATAAACACATGGCTTTCAAAAATCATAAGTTAGATACCTATATGACCTATATAATATATAGGCTTGGTTAAGGTTGCATGTCTTATTTTATAAGTGTAGGTATCTGCTGGTGGTAAGTTAATATTTTATAAGTAACCATGCAAATTATGATGATACCTATATTCTTTTGTCTAACAAAGTATATTTAAACTTCACAAGTACTAAATTTATATGCAGTATGCACAATTACCTATATAATATACAYGTATTTATAAAAAGTGGATAAATATGCGAAATAGGTAGTCTCATGTAGTCTCTTTGAACTTAAAATGTTTATAAAATTAATTAAAGGCCAAGCTAAAAGAATTGAAGATTTTATAAATATTTACTACAAAATAATATGCAAATTTTCGTGATTTTCTAACCTCAAACAGCCATAACAAATTACAGTAGATTTACTCTTATTTTATTTTTAATTACAGTATTAACAATTCACAACTAGGATCCTTCTATTATATTTTCAATATTTGACCATGCATAATTTTTTTATCGTTATTCATAAAAAAAAAAATATAGGTATAAAACTAGAACATTTAAAACGTCTATAATAATAATTAATAATTATATAATGTACATATAAATTTATAAATACAGTGTTTAACAGAAAGACCCGACCAAAAAAAAAATATATGCTAATGCAACGTATGACAAAAATTGTTAATATTATTTAACAGGGGTGGCCAGTGTCCACTAACCTTTATTTTGGGAGCCACAAATTTATGAAGCTATTTTTAAGTGAGCCACTTTGTTAAGATAGGTATAGGTATATGTCTATAAAACGAAAATATATTTTTGATATTATAACAAATATAAAGGAACATTCATTTTGTACACTACACAGAGCATAATTGTTCACGTAGTAAGATAGTAGGTATTAAGAAATGGGATTTTACTTTTGAGGAGTGTTTTTTTATATTAGGTATTTAATATGAATTAATTTTACTTTAAGCTTAGTTTCAACTTTCAAGAGTCACACGAGACTCACTCGGGAGTCGTATGCGGCTCGCGAGCCTCGCTGTGGCCATGTTATATAATAAGTAAATAATTTAAGAAATATTATCATGTCAGCAAATTCTCGAAAATCATATTTTTTTTAAAGTTATTACGTTCCAAATTAATTTATCCAAACAAATATTGAATTTAAAAAAAAATTCTAAAAATAAACTACTTGTTTTAGGTCAGCGTTTCTTAAACTGTAGTGTTCCGAAGAACCCTGGGGTTCCGCGTAGATCACACTTCAGGGTTCCGCGAAGCTTAAGTCATTTTATAAAAATGTTCAAGAAAATTACTTTAAAATATCCACTATGGAAAAAAATACTTGTATATTAAATAATGATATATAAGCCATATGTAATAATCTATTAGCTAACTCTATATTCAATAATCTATACTTCTACTTAATATTATAATTTATTTGCAAATAATCCTAAAAAAAGCTAAAAAGCTAAAAACAGTAGGGGTTCCACGACAAAAGTGGACATCAAAAAGGGTTCCAYGGATRAMAAAGTTTAAGAAACGCTGTTTTAGATAAATCTTTTTACCATCAAAATTGTTCTTATAATCAGATTCACAAATAGGCTATATTGAATTTGCCCAAAAAAATTTTTATTAAATTAAATTTTTTTTTTATTTTCAGTACTAAAAAATAAACGTAAAAAAATATTATATGTGTAGCGTCGGGTCACGTCTTAATGAACATAAAAAAAATAATATTGATTTGAACAAAAGTTATTCCAAAAGTCAGTTCTATCTGTTACACCTTATATCATGTACCTATTTTATACTTTTTTCAAATATCTGCGGTTATTTGTTTTTTTAAATAAAACAAAACTAAAAAAAAAATTTGTAATAAATTGGGTAAGTATGCGTATAAATTACAGTTTAGAAAAGATATGTTTTCCTAACAAAAAATAAAGAAAAGTACTAGGTACGGAAAATAACCTTCTAGGCGAGTTTTCTTTTTAAATTATATCTGTGACTTGTGAGCGTATTGTGTATTACTAACTAATATATTTGAGGACCCACGTATTTTTGTATTTTATATTATGTGATGTAGTGTTATAGAAAATCTTTTACGCTGGGACGTATATTATACGGTTATTAGATCACAGATTTTAAAGTAAAACCGCACAGATGTATAGTATTGAGTGAATATGATACGGGTTACACCCTAGGGGATTTTATTATATATGGTCTACTTAAACTACAGTACGTAAAATAAAATTGTTATTTGAAACAAAAATATTAAATATTTTTATTAAAGGATTAGGTGTACTTTTYGATATATTATATTCCTATTATATGGCTACATAAGTTATATAATAAATGTTTGTAGTTTGCTGTAACTATTTGTAAGTCACAAGGTTCAAACAAAAATGTACCTAAGTTATTTTCAGATTTGTTTTAAGTTTGTTCCATGTTGTTAATCAGTTATCACTTACGAAATTATTTCTACAATAATCTATAGAGTACTCGCTAATACCTATGTGGTATGTAGGTACCACAGCTTATAATATATCGTGCAGATTTCAACTGCTCATACCTATTATTATAAAATGAAACCTGATCTGCAATAAGCAGATAAGAATTAAGTTTGTCTTCTAGACTGCAGGAGTAAGGAACAACATATTTTCGCTCCAAATATTATATTAAATTAATAAATTATATACAATTATCCAAACATTACATTTCTACATTATTTTTTATTTATTTTTTTTTTAATAAAAAATTACCAATACGCAAAAAAACACGATATATTCACAAATTAAWTAATTCATCAAAAAAAGAGTTTTAACTTTTCATCGTTTGTTTMTCAAAATATTTAATTATATTAAGTCTTTGCTGATGTATTTTGAAGACAAAACTGAGGAAAATCAACGTTTTTGAAACTAATACATAAAATAAGTCTACAAATATATTATTTATAATAGTAATTACTTGGTGTGATTGTACAAATCAAAACATCATATTTTGTTAGAATCAACTACAAGTAATTTACATAATACAAGGCTGTTAACCACAATAGTTTGTGATTATAAAATATAATTCATGGTCACCGATAACATTATCGATAATAATAATTTATCGTAGATATCGTTCATTGTTATAATTTATTGGACTATTAATACATACCCAATGGCCAATAACAAAATGAAGATTGAGATTATTAATAAAAATAGTAAATACAGATAAAATTAAAAATATTATAGTTTTTTATTATGTATGTTTTAAATTATAATAAAAATTCCTCAAACATGGGTAGTTATAAAAGTTGCTTACAAATTATTAAAAAATTATATAAAATGCTGATAATTATTATGCATTCTTTGATTATTGTAAAAAGTTAACAAATGTATACCTATTAAATACATCTATAAAATTAAATTATGTGTTTACATTTTACTATTATAACTTATATGCATTTTTTATCTAGATGTAAATTAATATAACTCGTTTAAAAATGTACACRCAGGTTATCGTGTACATTTTTACACATTTTCACACGAATATGCAATATCAAGAAGTTCGAAAAATATTAAAATTTTAAGCACTTATCAAACAAAC